TCCCAGAGGTGGGAGAAGCTTCAGAGCTGCTCTGCCTGCTCCAACAGGGCTGCCTGGGGGCTGGGCCCAGCTGGGACTGCAGCAGAGGCAGCATAGATGGGCAGGGGAGGGTCACCCTCCAGGGGACCTGGGATGGCAGAGAAACCCACCCCTTCTCCCACTCCTATGGTGGCTGCCATGGTCACTGTCCCAGCTGAGCCCAGTCCCCTTACGGCCCTGCTGCAGCAGCTCTAAAGCTTCCCCTATGCTGCGGACAGCAGGGAAAGCAGCAGAGTGGGGGAAAGGAAAAAGGGGTAAGAGGAGAGGATGCGACTCTGAGCACGGAGGAAAGGGAAGGATTCTTACTTGCTCCGGGGAATTTAATAAAGTCCCCAGAGGCTCCTGCCCATGAGGTCTGCCCTGCACCAGTAGGCGGGGGAGGAAAGAGGCTGGGAGCATGCTGCAGCCACCACTACAATGTGTGTTGCTGCTTCCACACTTCACTTTGCCATATCCCATGTCAGTACCATTACCTTTGATTACATCAAGTAAGACATGCTGTGTCATTTGTAAGGGTTTTGGTCCCTGCCAAATTGGGCAGTTTTAGCTGCTTCTAAGTTTTCAGGGAGTTTTAGCATTTAAGTCTTTTCAGTCATTTTAAGGGGGCTCAGCCAACACGTACTGGAAGAGCTGGCTGCACTTCAAATATCAGCCCTTTCTTAAACACACACAGCTGAGCAGTCATTGCAGAACAGCTGGGAGGGATGGTTAATTTCCAGGTCACTCCATAGGGCCTGAAACTGTAAGTTTTCAGGACAGATTGCTATTACAATCCAGTTATGGCACTTGGGGATTCTGACTTGATCACATTATGCCTGGCTTTCTTGGCTAAGTGACTGCCTAGCGATCAGCAAGTTCAGATTTGTCTCTTGGAAATCCCCCCTCACCCATGACTTCATGACAGCTCACAAAGCAATCACCAGAATTCAGAACAAGACCTTCCACATCAACAGCTCATATTCTAACCAGCTGGAATGACACCTACAGAATAATAATATGTTTGAGTACATCATGTATTATTAGCATTTATGTAGCAGCACAGGTGCCTGCCTGGCACTTAATAGACAGAAAAGTGACAAGGCCTTTTGGAGCTTACGCACTAAATTAGACATAATATGATAAACAAAAGAGAGGAGGAGGATGTGAATAGAAACATGTTTTTTAATATCATATGATGCTCAAACTAGCAATATTCAGCCCACAAGGAGCCTCTAATCACTTGAGCTACTACCTTACTTCCACTTCTTGGTAACTTTAGCAGGCTCTTATCAGACAATTAAGAGAAAATATCTCAGGTTAAAAGTGATGAGGGTGATGTAACTACACATCAGGCACTCTGCAATAACTGTTTTGTAAATTCATTTCTAATGTGTGGTAAATGGAAGCTAAACTATGTTAATTTAATTCTGTTTCATTCAGGAATAAGCTGCATTGTTTTATCCTTTTCTTATCACAAGATAGGAATAGACACAGGACAGATTTACCATGGAGCAGGTGACATACAGCAAGTCTCCTCCTCCTTCCATGCCTTTTAATTCAGTATAATATATTTCCCTGCCTATACTTTATTACAGAGATAGGACAAATGCAGCCTGTTGTTCATGCTGTGTCCATCTGGGGGCTGATGCACACAGGATAAGAACTTGCTAGGGCTTTTAACTAGGACAATAGCTCAAGTGATAGAGACTTCTGAAAGCTGGGGCTTTGTGAGGGTTCATGTTCTGCTGTTGTCCTATAATCCATGTGTAGCAATAAATATATATCATAGTTGCTGCTATTCTCCTATACAGACTCTTAGTGTAATATATTAAGAACTTTGTCTGGAAGAGATGTCTATGCGGTGAGACCTGGCATACCATAAAAGTATATTTTTGTTTTCCAGTGGCTCATGCTAAAACTCCTATTTATGTATATTTGAAATTACTTACGAATGCCACGGAAGAAGCTTCGGTTAGAACGACATCCCTGATCTGCATTTGTTTAGCAAGAGAACCAGTATAAGCCCCGAGAAAACCCATTTACCCAGGGGCAAGTAGAAATTTTAACTTGATGAGGGAGTCCAGCAATGTTGCCTTACAGTTACTCTGGAAGGGAGGATGGAGCAAAGCTGCCCACATGCCAGAGTTTCTTTAAGAAGATTAGGAAGGGAACAGCAACGGTATGTTTTCAAAAAGGAAGGAAGGGGAAATAGGGTCAGGACCAGGCTGCTACAGCTTTTTTCTTCATAGGAGCTCCTGAAGACAGGGCACTCTTTTATTTTTCTCCCTACACTCCTCTCTTTTTACTTCTTCTCCTCATTATTCTCCCTCTCCTACAAATAATTTGCCAGCCTCTCAGAAACAGGGATGGTGTTTATCACCGAAGCAGAATTTTAGTTCTCACATCCACAGTTGTTTTCCCTGCTACTATGAAGCTGATGCATACTCATATAATATAAGCCAGTCATAAGAACCGTGCTCTCTACAACATTTGGAAAAGATCCCATTTGATCGTATGATACAAATTAATCTCTTCAGTAAATACAGCTGTCTTTCTAATTCACCTTCAGATTCTAATTGTATTACTCAAAGCCCAAAGGACACACTGAAAAATGTCAGTTGGCTTTCTCCTTTTTATTAGGTGCTTTTAAAAACTTGACGGATGATTAAATCATCTACTGGTGACTGTGTGTATATATAAATCAATGACTTGATTAACAAGCTTGGGGAGTTTATCTACAGTCATTTTTTAAAGCCAAATGTGTATTTATTAGGAGCTGTCTGCCAGGATTCCATTTCTTTCAGATGTGATCTGTAGTATGTTTAGAGCAGTAGCTCTCAACCTTTTTAGTCTTCATGCATTCATTGTAAGACTCAAGACACCCCTTGAAAAATGCCAGCTTCTAGTTTTGACTTGTTTTTTCACAACAGAAAAAATAATAGAGCAGTTTTCCTGTTGGCAAGAACTCAGACCACAATGGGTTAGCATGTTTTGAACACAATGGTTTCTTATTTGAAATCTCTGAGTTTATCTTGTGAATCATATTTGCATATTGTGCGAACGTAGCATGGCACTCCAGGGGACTGTAAATGTGCCATGACACCCTAGTTGTGAATCAGATGTAGAGAAATGAATGATCTGAAATGCAGCTTTTGTGAATTTACAAGCTAGGAACCAACACACCTCTGACTCTATGGGCATGTCTACATGTGCTTTTACACATGCCTAAACTTAATGTGCATTCGCCTTATACACATTAAGGTGATTTAGGTGCATGCCTACATGTGCACGTGCTAAGGTGCATTAATGCAGGTGTGCAGACCGACCTGGGGGTAAAGTTAGTCCCAAGTCAATGGACACGCATCGAGTTAATGTGCATAGCGTGTCTACACGTTCACTAATGTGACTTAGCTATTCGCACATAAATTTGATACCAGCTTTAGGCAGGTATCAAATTTAGGCTTGAATAGTCTAAAATTGCCATTTTTAACATGCATTAAGGGCACGCACATGTAGATGCATGCCCTTAATGAGCCATAAATTAGGCTAATGCACATTAAATGTGCACATGTAGACACGCCCAATGTTATTCTTAGCTCACTGCTCAGTAAACTTTAAGTGACAGCTATTTTGCCAAACTTTGAATTTTGCAACTATATTAATTATGAAGTAGCCCACTTGTTAATTAATGATTTAACTCCACTCTTTCTTTAAATCATTAATCTGGGTTGATAAACAGCAGCTCTTTTGCAACAAAAGCTGCTAACTTGGTAAATGAAGCCCAGAAATGTCTTAGAAGTTCACCTCAGAGCAGGACTCCAGCAGACCTTCTTAAGGCTGTTCTCCTTCAGTGAGAGATAACTAGTGTGCAGATGTTATACTAGAAGTGATTTTCATCCTTGGGGCTGGATACTGCCAATATATCCACACCTGTGCCACATAAATCTGTTTTCTGGATCTCTCTCTTACTAAAACTCTGGTGAAATCCTTATCAGTAGGATCTCCATCTGGGCATTTCCCTCCGACCTCCCACTTTGTCCATTTGGCTGATTCAGACCCTTGGAGCTTGTATAATCAAGGGACTGTAAATGTTTCTGTTAACCTGAAGGAACACATAAATATTAACAGACAATGGCCTGGAAGTTTGCTAATTATTTGCATTCCACTGTTACTTTGCCTGATTTATTTTATAAAAGTCAGACATTATCCTTGTTTTTTCGATTTATAAATTATGACTGCTTGAAAATGAAGGATGGGGCAGAAAGTGAATTGGTGCCTTTAATTTTCAGGTACCAGGACTGGAAGTGTTTATTAAACACTTGCTTAATGAAAAAAGAAATAATTCTAGGAACTGGGACCAGGATCTAGGACAGCCCTTCCAAAGTGACTTCCCTAACCACTAGGCTACAGCGCCTTTTTACTTGCTCTCTTTCTGGCCCCAAGAACATAGCAATTTTGCACAGTGACCCAAGTCCAACAGGGAAGTATGGCCTTACCCAGTCCACCCCTCTCATTGGAGATGCAAGTTTGAAGTTCTTTGGGCAGAGGAAGAAACCAGACCCAGGTCAAGTGTTCAGACCACTAAACTACTAAATAAAAAATGGGTGACAGCACCACCACATACTGGGGTGCATCTACACATGGCCGTATGGTGCCTTTGTGTCTGCACCATTATTAATTCCTTTTGGAAGTACTAAAAGATGGCGCAGTAACAGCCTGTTCTCCACCATACCGGCTGCTGTTATTTTTGGCTGCTACATTGGTGAAGCAACATGCTGTAACGAGGGAGCACATTGCTACAGTGACGTAGCAGCGACATCATGGTTCATGCCAACTGTAGTGTATTGCTACAGCATCGTAGTATCTTGTGTAGATGCACCCATTGTGTTTTAAAAGAATAGTTGTAAGCCTGGATCTGTTTTTTAAAAGAACAATTGTAGTTACCTTCACTCAGGGATCCTTACTGTATGGAGACATCTGCTATCCAGAAAGCTTAAGACCATCTACTCATCATTACCTGTTGGCTTGCAACTAGATCTAGGAAGAGACTTGGGCACTTACAATTAACTATCTAGGCTCCCTATACAGTACATGGGGAGAAAGGTGATCCAAAAAATCTGCATGCTAAGTGGAGAACCATCTTGACTGAACAAGTACAAAAACCTGAGCACAGGCTGCGTCTGAACTCCCGCCTTCAGAGCTTAGGTCTGAGTCAGGGCTTCTACTTCCATCCACTTGGGAATCATCTCCTCTTGCATTTTGTGCTTCCAACTCCAACAGCAGGTATAAAAGGTGCCCCTGTCTAAATCAACCTGTTGGGTAGGACTCCCTCAGACTCAGTAGGAGCACTCCTGTTTTCTGGGCCAGTGCAGCAATCACCAGACTGTTGCATTGAAGGGAGGTGGAGTTGGCATGTCCATTTTTTTTTCAAAGGTGTGTGAAACTGTATTTTGTGTTGACCTGATCCTGTCATCCTCTCATCGTTCTGTGAACATGTCTGCTAGCTCAGGCCTCTCAGGCGATGTAGCTGAAGCAACACCTACTTTCTGGATCCTATGTAAAGCTGTCCCAAAGTCCAATTGCCTTGGCAGTGGCTTTTAGTTTTGCTTTATAGTTACTCATGTGAAACACCATGAGAAGGTAGTCACTATCGTTCCCAATGAGCCAAACCTATGGGCAGCAATAGAGTGGGCCCACCGCTGGGAAAGGTCAGAACTATTCCTACAGCATTTTATACCAACACCACATGAGGGTCCCATTGGGCATGACCTTGACAGAGAAGCATAGGTCAAGCTGAACAGACTGAAATCTGGATACAGATACTTTCAAACAACACTTCACAAGATGAACATCTTGGGCAGCTCCCTGTGCGAATGTTGTGTACAACAAACAGCACGGCACTTAATTGAAAGCTGCTATCTTTACGAATGCATAGGTGGGGCAGATGGAATCCACCTATTGAGCAATAATACCGGACAGTGGCTCATACATTTGGAAGTTGATATCTGATGCCATACGAAATAGTGTGTGAAGGAGATACATACCCAGCTGCTCAGATTAGGGCTCTTCTGGGTATGCCCAGATCAAGAACTATAGCCGCACAGGAAACTTTGACATCAAACAGGGAGGTGACCAGTGTGTTAAAGTGATTCTAGGGCAACTGAGTAGAGATTTTGGGGTCACAGTTCATTATGATATCTATCCCTATATCTTACTCTATATTGTTAACATGGCTTAAAACACTTTTCAGAGTTAACAGAATTGAGCAGGAACTTTCTCAAATAAAGCACAGCTTCAAACAAAGAGTGTGTTTAGAAAAATGTGAAAGCCATCTGGATTCATTCACCTAAGAAAGTGGAGGGACTGGCTTTAGAAGAGAGACTAACAGTTTAATATAGCAATGTGTTTTCAGCTAGCAAAATGATACATCTGAAGGGTACAAACTTGGCAGAGGAAGAGAAACTGTTTATGGCGTCTCAGAAGGGAAAATGTCATTGTGACAATGAGATCATAGAATAAAATTCCAAAAAAAGTAGCCTCAAGAATTAGATCATTTAAAATTGGCATGTTAAAGTACAAGAAAATATCCTTTAGGGAGCAATGCTGTAGCCCTAATGGTAATGGATGAGGTAACCTTGTTTTTTAAGGTCTTTTCTGCTTCTGATCTGGATTCTCTTGTTTGCTCACTGGTCATCTGAGTTCGCTCACGTACACGTACACGTAAGTTGTACTCCTCCCTTTAGAACTCCTATTTTCTTTCTGTTTCCTGTTTCGGACTGCTATGCCAATAGCTAAACTTGTAAGAAAGGGTCCAGGAAGCCAGGGGTAATTCAGTGCCATTTCAAAGTAATCACTCTCTCTATTTGCTTGCATAGTACAAATACCTTGAAATAGCCAGGTATGTTCAGATAGGAATCTCTTTTAAATAGACAAATAAACAGAAGGTCATCTTCTCAATGAAAAACTATTTTTATTAGTTCATTTCATGGCTGACAACATTTAATGTCCCCATCCACCCTTGCATAAATGGTGGCTGGTGGCTAGAGGATTTCTTGTTTAATCTTATTTGTAAATGGCTGCAAGGTAAAGGATGTGAAGAAAAATATGCCATAAATGTATCCCAAGAGCTGAAGCCTGGGACTTTTCATGACCATTGGTGTAGCCACAAAGAAAATATTAGAAAGCTAATTAAATATGTGGGAAATCAGTGGAAATCTGAGATGACTGTTCTGTATTCCTGATATATATGCTATGAGATACATAACCCTAGAAACAAATGTGGCAGGCGATTAAAATGTAGAAATCCCCACTTTTTATAAGTGTGTTTAATAATTTTTTGTGTCAAAGAATAATAATTATTTGTGTCAAAGAACAAATAAAAAACCTTTTTGTTTAACAAGAGGTAGGTATTTGAAATGAAAGGATTTTAATCTAGTACCTGACTTCACTAAATATCTCTATTCTACTTTGATAATAGTAGTTCAGAAGGATACTCCCTTATTAACATAGCTACATGGACTGGAGGGGAGTGATGGGGACTGATGTGACTGTATTGTTTGTGAAGGACAAAATTGCTGAATATTTTTTTTTGGTAATAACCCTACTCATGTTGGTAAATGCTCTATTTCTGATGGCTTCACAGCTGTTGAATCAGTAGAAATTCACTGGTGATTATGTCGCTGATGAGTTTATGCTACTTGTTTCAGAGTTCCTGCTGCAGCCTGCACAGTAAACGCTGCAATGGAGATCTGTCTCTTCACCTCTTCCCAGGCTTTATGTTGATCTGCTTTGTTTTTGATATCAAACATGGCATCATAGATCCCAGGGAAGGACTCCCCAGCATACTTGTTGTGGCTGCTGGGAGCAAAAATGATATGTCTGTTGAGAATGAGAAAAAGGACAGTAAATATTTATTCTGAAAGAATAAATAAACCTTATTTCTAAGAAAATGTATTTTCTTATCCAGTATACATATTGGCTTTCATAGCGAACCCTTGTGTAAGGGATGCCAACAAATAAGTTTCGGGTAATAATAGCATCTATTTTGTGAAAAAGGAGGAAACAAAAAACCTATATTTCTCAATTCCAGGTATCACAAAAAACACATTAAGTGAATGCAAGATGTCTGAGGCTAGGACCAGCTGATTACAAGCGTTTCTCTTGGAAAACGATACAATTTTGGACATCTGGAGAGAGCTGCAAGTTAGAAGGGCCACTGTTTTGACAAGCAGCAAGAAACCAGCCTTGAGGAATATTCATACAGAAGTTATTAAAAGACCAAGTATTGTAAATCTTACATAAATCACATCTCTCTTGCTAGATTTCTTTCTAAAAGGAGAGGTACATGTTTTGCATTATGTTGGTGTTGGAGAATGCTACAGAACATTTTATAGGCTCATGGGTGGACTTAGGGTTTTGAAAAAGCTGGTGCAGGAGGTGTTGTGCATCCTTACATAACACAACACATAGTTTCCTCTAACTAAAAAGGAACTAGAATCTTTACCAATACCTAAGGGGCCTACGGGTATATTACTGTGTTTAAGACTGAGGGTGACTGCCAGCTCCAGGGTGGGGTAGGCAACTGGTTCCAGGGCAGTAGAGTTGTTACCCTCCAGCCTGGCCACAGGCAGAACAGTCCCCTGTAACTCAACATGTGGGTCCCTCAGACTTTCCACCATGGTCCCAATGTGCCTTTCACTATGCTTTCTGCATTGCCTCTGCCACCTCCAATGCCCCCTACCTCCACTCTGTCCCTTGTTATCTCACATATCCTCAGCATCAACCTATCATGCCCTGAGCCCTATCAGACCCCACCCTGCCTCATACTTCATTAAGCCTTCCCACTACCCCTCCAAGCACCCAAACCTCAAGGCAGCCCCTCACAACCGCTGCACGCCCTCATACACAATCTCTTTTGCTCCAACCATGCTCACAGCCCATTTCACCTCCACAGTCCCAACCTCTTCTGTCCCTCGCCAACCACCTTTGCAACTCCCTCCTCCCCCTGACTTCTGTGTCACCACCACACAGCTATGCCTGCCTTCAGCCATGCCCCTTCCCTCCTTGTCTCTCATTTGCTATGGGTTTGAATCCCCTAGGAACAAACCATCCTGTACAGGTTCCTATACAACAGTACTTCTTTACTGGACACACTCAGGTGTCAGTAGACAAACACCAACAGGAGTACATAATGGTAGAAGAAAGGATAGTTTGATTAATAGAAGATCAAGGGTTGTTAACACCCCAAGAGTGAAGATTATTCAGGAATCAAATATATAATAAGCCATGAAGTTGACTCCTTCAGCTCTGCCTGAATCAAAAAGTGACTATCCCTGTCAGGCAGTTTGTTTTAAACTTTGAGAAGAACAGGAATCAAAGTGGGGTGTGAGCGTACCACCAACCCCCTCCTCCTCAGATTTGCCCCTGAGCAGGCTTTACTAGCCTGCCTTCAGGACCAAAACATATTTTAACATAGCTATATAAAAGATAATGTATCAGATCCATTTCCCTGCTGCTTGCCGACTGCTCCTACACTTTATTTCCTAATAAAGGTCAGTTTAGTTTTGAAAGTTAAATCTCTATTCTCTCTGGGAGACTTTTAGGATTAGATTCTACACCACTGAAGTCAGTGGGAGCTCTGTTATAGGAGCAGGATAAAACCCATAGCATTGATCAAAAGCCCATTGAAATAAATAAAAACTTGACTTTATTTGGCATTATACCAGGCCCTATGATTTGTCTAATACATCTCACTCAAACTTTGCCTAATAATCAGATTAAATTTACCTTTATTTTTTATAATGTTTCACTAATATCTCTCTCTCCTTTTACAGTGCTAAATGCTATTCTTGTTCTCTTCAAATATTTGTATATCCTAAATGGTTGAAGTTTCCAAAGGGTTCTTAGGCTAAAAAGGGAGAAAAAAGTTATGTCACAGATGCTGGATTTTTTTACCTGTAAAATGGTCTGCCAGGTAAACCAAGAGGATCAATAAAAGCCCTTTCCAAAAGCATGAGCTGATCATTCAGTGACCTTACATCAATTGGGCTAAAAAGAAAGCATAAGAGGAATGTGTTAGCCCCAGAGTAACTTGTACATGCAGATTCTGTCCTAAAGCTTTCACAGCTGCAGACTTATAATATCATATCTAAACACAGCTGGTAGAATTGAACTGGTATCACACACAGGCAGCCAGTATCAGTTATGTCAATAGAATTACGCTGATTTAGAAGAGGACTTGGCTCATAACATGGAGATCATGCAAAGCTATTCTTCAGTGCCAAGGAATGTGTTAAAGAAGGAAGGGATTGTCAAGTACTTTTGCCTTGGCTGCTGCTTCTGCTTGGAACTCTTTTCCACTCTCATGTCAAAGCTAACCTCTCCCTCTCCACTACAAATCTTTTTTTCAATAAACACTTCTTCCATGAAGTTAGCTAATGTCTAGTTGCTTGAGTAAAAGTCACTTCTTTTTATGTCAAAACACATCACATTAAAAAAGAGCCTTGTGATGTTCAAGTCATCCCACACATCATGTGCTTGAGCTGTTTCTCTCTCTTCTTCAACTGTAAGTTCTTTGCAGCAGAGACCATCTGTGTCCCTGTGTGCTGTACGTACCAAAGTACATTACTGCTAACCTCCCTCCTTGTTACTGAAGTTAACAAGGGTAAATAATAATGTGTTAAATGGCAGGACTGGAAACCAATGTGCTACATAATATACTGCAGAACTTAAGAGTGAGTTCATTAAGGAAAGCTAAACAAAACATCTCAGACAAGTGCAAATCTGGAGTAAGTACACCGTAGTGGGTGGACTTCCAAATCTGCATCCATGCAAACAAAAGCTGAATCATGTCTACATTTTTTAATACTTAACTCATTCCATTCCTGTAAACACTCTTGGATTGAGCTTTCCCATTTCATAGTGTGTTGCAATATTCAACAAGGTATAGCAAGCTACTGTATTTCCCATATGTAATGATTAAGTTAAACAGTTAACTCTATTAACTGCTCTCTCAAAATTTGACTCCATTTGTTTCTATTGATATAGTTCATTAGGTCAGAAAAAAAGGTTAAAGCCAGAGTTTTACATGGTATATCTCAAAATATAAGCTTTGTAATTGATAACTGCCAGGGATCCACATACCTCCTCAGAGAAAGGAGCTGCAGGAGTGAAAATAAGTGAGTCAAAGAGATCCAAGAAGGCAGCATAATTCCATAAAACCAACCAATTAAGCTGCTCATAGTTTTAATTTTATAGATAAATATGTTGCTAGGGGAAATCAATGTCACTGAAATCAGCAGCCTCTCAGAGATAATCTGCTCTGACTTTAGCAGTGTAAGTAACCCAAGCAATAAAGCAATGAGAGCCATACAGATCCCTATGCCTAAGTCAAATGCTGGTAACTTATTTAAATTCAGAGTGGCCACCATTAAAATATCAAGAGATACCCATAGTGGGTCTGACTCTCATTTATACTACACTCTTTTCAGTCAGCCTCAAAGTGGGTCCCAGACTTGTGGAAAGGAGCATCACTTTAAATGAGAATCTGATGCTGTAAAGCAAAACAGGGTAGGCATTCGCTCTGTAATGATACAATCCTTAAAGGGAAAAGAGTTCAAGGGATCCATCTGCCTCAACCCTCACTCCCATTGCTTGATATTTGAATATTCAAGTGAATAGATGTTCACAAAACGAGTGTGCTATTCTATTGGGTTTCCAAAAAAATTCCCTATTTGTTTTGATGGGAAAGGAACCTATGGAACTTACTTGCTGATGTCCACTTGCTGCAATCTCCTGTGAAAATCAATAGCAGCTTCTGTAAAATTCTTCACGGCAGAAAAAAGAGGATCTGGAGTGATAAGGAAGGAAGGATGTAACCTTGAGTTCTGTTTAGTTTTTGCCAATGATTGTATTAATTAATTCTTATTACTTGAAGAACAAAATCAAACACACCCACACTTGTAAATTAAAGAGTAGTAATACCCTGGCTTTTCCATGATTGCATATGTGTAATATGGACTGTGAAACCTGATAGAGCTTGTGTGAAATGTTGTGTGTGAGTAGACAGATAATTTTTTTTCTTGTGTTGGGTTACTTGAGGGATTATTTAAAATAGATAACTAACTAAGACCTGATCTGCATATTGTTTTGAACCAGGACAACTATTATTTTGCCGTGATTAACAGTTACAATTTCCAATGTTGACTGGGCCTTCTGTATTTTATCAGTGATGCAAAGGGACCAGTACAGTGAGGCTCTTTGTCTTTTTCTAGAGATAAAAATGAAATAATATTTTTACTTAGATTATTAATCTTTTGGTGCAGGGCCTATATTTTTGTTCCGTGTTTGTATGGCACCTGCCAATAAGATACTGGTCTGTGACCAATGCTACCAAGCAATGTGATTATACAAATGCTTAACAACAGTAACAGAATTGTGATGGAGGGTAGTACCTACCAAATGTCACACTGTACTTTGTCACTTCACTCTGATGACTCTTTGACAAATTATAGATTATGTGAGTGTAGTTACTTAAAGCCGCTGCATAATCTCTGCAATCGAAGGGAAGGACAACAGAGTCGGCGAGCTCAAATACCAGTCCTCCCCGTACTTGAGCTACTGTCACGTGATTCTTAAAAGTAGGATCATAAAACTTCTCCACAATTTCATAGGTCTCATAAATACTGTGGTAAGCTGGGTAGCTGCTATATTTTTCCACCTTCTGCAAAAAAATATATATATTTTTCATATAAGATTTTAGACAGATCAACTGTGCTGCAAAATTTTTCTTCCTCTCATGTGCCTGGATCACAGCAGTCCTTTATATTCATATCTTTAAATATTCCTTTTCACAAAGAAAAGGTCTTTTGTTTAACACACAATGCCTGGTTGTATTTTGTTAACTGTCCACCTTTCATGGTGCGGGTGCAGAAAGAATTAAAAGAGTTATGTTGGCCAAAAATCACCACTTCAGCATTCAACAATTGGTCATAGGCAATTTTGAGTGTACCATTGCCTCAAGAGCCTTTGTCTATTGGTTGGCTGATGCCAAGTTCAGTTATTCTTATTATTACTGTGCTTTCAGTTATTTGGTTTGGTTTTTTTTAACTATTTGTATTGTGGTAGCACCTCAGAGCCCTATTCATGAATTAGGCCCTATTGTGTCATGATAAAATGAAGACATAAGTAGTCGTTGTCTCAGAGAACTAAGAGGCAGATCCATACGGATTTTGTAGGTGCCTACGCTTAAGTGTCAGAATGCCTAATACTGAGCCATTTTTCTCTGGAGTTTGATTAAATTTGACTGGGTTTAGGCACATCAAATCCCTATATAATCAATGAGGAGACTCAGGCACCTCAGAAGAGTGGTTCAGAGTTAAATGGGTATTCACTCTTTACAGACAATGAGGACTGGCACGTGTCTGAAGAACAACTGAGAAAGTAGCCAATGGGAGTCATTAAAGAACAGGCATGGGTTGAAATTCCTCCCCATCTCAGCAGCTTAGGCACCTGATTTGCACTACATACCGACACCTCCGCTCACCTGCAATTCAGAACATCTAGTCCCGCTTCTCAGGACCGGCACCTGTCATCATAGTCGTGGCAGTGCCATGCCCTCATCTTTTGCTAACAAAGCACCATCCCAGGAAGTGGGACAGCTCTCATCACCCTAAGAGGATTCAATCCATATCACCTGCTGCCCAGGTAAGTGGTCTAGCTGCCAGACTAAGCTGGATGGGATACTTGGAATCTGGTTCCAACTTTACATTAGACAGTCCTAATCTTTGCAGCAGGGACCAAACCCTCTCCCTCCAAGAGCACTGCACTTCTCATTGGGCTACAGAGGCATGCTTACTTTTGCCTGCATGCTTACTTTTGACTTTTTACTTCCACAACTCTTTCATCCTTGGCTGCCCATTATGCCCAGCTTTGATAGGAGGGGTGTCCTCACCCAGGCTAGGTGAGGACACCCCTCACCTGGCCTTACATTCTGGAAGTTGGGGCACCCTCTTGAGAAGTGTTTTGAATTCCTTCATCATGAATGGGCTTAAAACTCAAGACTCCTACTTCTTGGGTGTGTGCTGTAATCACTTGGCTGTGGGACAAAAGGCAAGTACTTATACCATTGTTTTTCAGTTGAATTCAGTGCTATCCATGCAAGTGATAGGCAGTCTCTGAGATACAACTGGATCTGTTCTGAGCATGCTCCCAAGGCCTAGTGTAGACCCATAGGGCATGTCTACACGTGCAATTAATGTGCTTGAATTTTCTGTGCAGAAAATTCAGGCACACTAAACTGTGCCCAGGCATGCATCTGAACGTGTGCCCATCAGACCAAATTTGCTCTTGACGGGAACAGTTCAGTCCAGAGCTCCTCCTGCTTTGCTCTGCCCCACTGCATCAGCTGAGGGGAGCTCCAGGCTCCCTCAGATGCCAGCCCTGGGCTGGTATAGGACATGGGGGTCAGGCCTGAGCTCCGAGGGCAGCTGTCTTGAATCCCTGCAGAGTTTGGGATTTAGCCAGGCAGAACTTGTGCCCCCCCCTGCTGCCTGAGCTAACCAGGAGCAAATTGCTCCCAGTCAGGTTCTACACATGCGCTTTGGTGCATTAGTTAATGTGCCATTTTTCTAGTGCCTGTAAGTATTAATACTAGCAAATGACACATTAGACTAATTTAATGCACAGTAATTGACATGCACATATAGAAGGTGATGCTTTACTCTGCATTAGATTAATCTACTGTGCAGTAAACCATATCATGTAGACACACCTATAGAAAACTTTCTAGCCCAAATGGAGATGTCTAGTGGTTTTAGGCATCAGATGCATTTTGTGACTGCTGATGAATGTCCAATTTGAATTGCTCTTTAGGAAATATAGGCTAAATTCCACATAATCCACATTTATATACCTACAGAATCAACCTGAAGCCATCCCTTCTAGACTAAGTAAACGACTCACAGTAGTTGGTGTTATCCAGTGGCTTATAAGGGATAGTGACTAGAGGGTCTAACAACACAGACTTACCCAGTTTTTACTGTAACGTGCTCTGCCTGATGCAATACCAAGCCGCTGAAAAAAGACTTCAAAGTCATTGCCAGAACCCAGCTTATTTATTCTTTTGATAAGAAAAGGGAAAACATCTTGAGTCACAATATCCAACTTTCAATATATTTTGGACAAATATAATAATGACCTATCCACTTGCCAGTCAGACATCCCCACCCAAAAAACATTTCCCTATCCCATTCTTCTTCTTATCCTTCCCATTATCTCCACCACACCTGAGTTATCTATCACACAGTCTCACGCATCATCTCTTTTGTTATTCTCAGACACCACTCTCACACCAAAAAACTCAGTGGACTAAACTGAGGGGAAAAAAATCTCTCAAAAATCTGTTCTTTGTTCTTGCTCTCTCAGGGCCTTACACATACTCCGGCCCAAATAATGAACTCAGCTCCTCACCTCCAGGGAAAACAACTGCACAAAGAAGGACTCTACAGAAGAGAATGGTGACAGGTCCGGGGGCACAGACATAATCCTTTCCTCCTCACACATGCAACCCTATGCAATCATAACAGAATTCACATTAGATATTATGGGGAAATCCCTGTAGTTTTGTAGAGATAAGAGATATAAAAAGCAGCCCAGCTCCTTCCTCAAGGAATGGCCTCATTAGGCTATAGAGTCTGAGGCTTTCCATGTGTTGGGAAGTAAAGTCTAGGGGGTAATTCTGGATTGATCATGGGCACCTCCCACTGGCTTCTGTTTCATCCATTCTAAATAAAGAGTTATTTTAAAGTTAACTGGAGAATGATAAGGACTATGGAAACAGCAGATTATACAAGGATTTATGGCTCATGTCTTGCTTTCAGAGAGGTATGTGAAAAATGATTTTTTTCCCATTGACTATCTGAGAAAAAAATGACGTACAAAACAAAATCATGGCTCCAAACAGTTCCATTCATTTTAACTTCCTCCGGGTACTAACGCAGCCTTACAGTGCTACTAAACATATCGTCACTGTTTCTTTTCACACACTGATTATGGTTTCTTGGAAAGGTGGCTAAGACATCAATAAAATACTACTTCCAATTTGTAACTGTAGAACAATTACATTTGGATCCTAGTTGAATTGCAGATGAGTCTCCCACATAACTGAAACCAGAACCACACATTTTAGAGGCAGGAATCCCTTTTTAGATGTGATTTTCTAAGGATACAGTCACCTCCTATACATCCAATTAACAAGTATAGGCTGTAGGGCTAAAACTCCATATGTAATACTGACAGTTTACTTTTCACACACAATTCCTCAATACCTGGTAAAATGTCCCAGTTCAGCTATAATTAGTAGAGTTTTGACTACAATTTGCACAAGATGAGTATCTGTCCCATAGTTCCTTTTACCTGTGGCTTTTCTTGCAGTTAAAAATAAACTTGCCTGCCCTGAATTTGCAACCCACAGTAGCTTCAGGCACACCCTTGATTTTCTTTGTCACATACCTGGGAAGGTCTCTGTATTCTGTTGATGGGTTTTTCTCATACCAGCTCTCATAAAGGGACTTGCCTTCAAACCCCTCATCAGGACTTGGTATCTAGAGAAAATGCATGTGAAAAAGGCAAAGTGGTATAGATGTAAATGTTACCAAGTAAGAAAGTCATAAGCAGGTATTACAGAAAGTCTACTGGTCAGGAGAATGACTAAGACACTGATCCAAGTCAATCAAATTTTGTATGCCCCTCTTTAGCACTTTGAAAAATAGGTGGAACAATAATTATTAGAGCTACACAATGAATAGTTTATTCACTGAAATTACAATTTCAGTTGAAAGAAACAGAGCACAATTCAGAAAAGTAAAAAATTAGTAAATTTCATTTAGAAACTGAAATGTATATAAAATCCCTGAAGACAAAATGTTTTATTTCAGGTTAAAGACAGGTCAACATACACTTCTTTATAGAGTCCCTTCCAAAAATCCAGAAACACCAGTATTTGACAACTTTGAACAAATGCATAGTATTATTAAACCAAACACATAGGCCGTGTCCAGAGGAGTGCGGTCATGGGGTATGTGGTGCCACAAACACGTTTGCAAGGCCACATACCGCACAGTCCAGTGGTCTCTGTGCTGCAAGGGTGCGCTGCCCAAGCATCTGCTGCTCCATATTTTTTTATATGGATATCCAGGGGTCAAAAAAAACTACGGAAAAAAACCAAAGTCAGTACAAGGTAGGGCAGCTGAAAAGCAGAGCCGGCTGCCCAGAGCTATGCAGGATCGCGACGGCTGCAGCCCTGGGGGCCCCCAGGACTCCAGGTAAGGCTGATGGGGCCAGCACAGTGCTGATCCCAGCCTCTCCTACCCCACCCAGGGTAACTTGCCACATGCCAAAGTGCACATGGCACAGGCATTCCCCAGGGACAAGTAGTTGCAGTGCAAGGTGCACCTCTGCTATTTGTCCCCAGGGAACCAAACAGCCACGCTCATCTGGATGAACCCATAAGGGCTAAATTCTGCTCTTGTTTATATTTGGTTAACTATATTGGTGTACATGTGTAGTACTAATGTAACTAAGAATAGAATCAGTTAAATGAGATATATGACCCTATGAAAATTATGATTCTTGGAAGGAAGGAAGGATTTCTTATCCCCTTCCTTCACTACACACCTGGTTATATCAATCACTACTACTAACAATTTTAAGCTAAACTATGTTTGGATTATCTATTTCAGGGCCTTCTTGTATAATGTCTCCTTTCAGGCCTTTTGCTCTGTTAAATTTGATATCATTAACTGGCTTAGGTGGACCTGGTAATTGCTTTTTTTACTTTCCTGACTTGGCTAGTTGTAAAGCCTGCATATGTTCACATTGTGGTGACCTAGAAACAGGTCTTCTGCAGCTTGGCCAAAGGACCAGTTTCACACAAAATGCATGCCCAGCTCCTTTGAGTAGCTACTATTGATATGTTTATTGCTATTTTCCTGAATTACCTCCTTGGTCAGGTTGTACACCAGTCCATACATCAGTGGAGTACAATCAATTCTCAGAGTGTAGTTTCCTGAAAGATAAGGGTAATATTTTTAGGAGGAAGTCAATCCTGCAAAGTTGAGGTCCTCTGTTTTTGGGGGGGCTAGAGTGAGACATGTAATAAGAAGGGGCTGGAGATGATAAGATGAGAAGAATCTCACAGCGAGGAGCATCCAGTTGTGGGTACTTGGCCTATTCATTCCAGCTCCCAGACTGAATTGTGATCCAGGTTAGTACCATGGCCGAAGAGAACTGCCTTACAAACCGATACTGGCTACCTACATTTGGGGTAACAGCATGGGGAGGGAAAGCTTCTGCCAAACTGATAGGAGGGGTGAAGAGTGAGAAGATCCCTGGTTCTTTCTCTCCCAACATATCTAAACATAAATAGAGGCTCAGCATAGTACACTTCTGCCCTGAGGCAACAGGACAAAACAGAGGGTGACTTTACCCTCCAAGTCCGTGTAACAAGGGGCCCCTACCCTTGGAAAGGGGAGGCATAGCCAAGGCATACCATAGAAAGCCTGACAGCAAGGGGCAACAGGTCTGAGCTGCCTGTGTAAACTGAGCAACAAGCTATGCAATGCCAGGCTGCTGGCAAGGGAACTGGCAACGTCAGGGTCCGGTGGGGTGAAAACCAGAAAGGGGCCAGGCTTGCGTGCATGTAAATCCAGCCTCTGACCCTGGCTGCCACAGGGTAAGGAGTGCTGAATGAAACTGGCTGCAGGTCAGGAAAGATATGTGGGATGCTGGGGCAATGAGCCAGCCCTAAGTTTGGAGGCTGGAGTAAGCAGAGACCCCAAGAAGGGTTTATATTTGACTTGGAACCATATGAGATGGTGCTCTGTGTTTAAGTTTGGCCAGTGGTTTGGCTGGGTGGGGTTTGGAGGCTACATAACAGGTTGCCAGGGCCACTCTGCAGGTCAAGGCATGCTTTAGGCAGGGGCATGAATGGATGAGGCCCAGGAGCCAAGGCCTGAGGTAGTGGACCTGGGCTAAAGGCTCAGATGGAGAAAAAGGGGCCAAATCTGGGAAGGTTGAAGCGTTTTGAGGCCTGGGGGATTTCCTTAAAGGGAAGCACCCCTAAAGAAGCACAGAGACCCCAGGACTGAATATGGGGCAGAGGAGCCCAAGGGATTAATCGAAAGTTGAGGAGCACCAGAGAAGCTAGTCCTGGCCTCCAGGGATCACCTCCCCATTATATTACCAATAACATCAAAGGCATGTGGACAAGAGACTGGAGGTGAGGGGCGCTGGAGAGTGTCGCTGGTGGGTCTGACCCGAGGGGGCTTTGGGTGCCGGGGGTGGACCCATGAACGGCTATAGTCAGGGCTGGCCAACTTCAGAGCAGCTGGGGTGTTCACACTGCCAGTTGTGGGTGTTGGGCCCCAGGCCACACACTGCATAGGCTCCCCAGGACTCTTGCTATACCCAGGTCCCCCACTATGCGGGCAGTATGAGGCCCCTGCCACCACGTGGGCACTGGGAGCCCCTCCCGATCACAGCCACACAAGCAGTGTAAGCAGTGTGAGCCCTGCCGCCCCACCACTGTCACACTAGCAGCACAAACCCTTTCCCCGCACCTGCCACAGGGGCAGCGAGCTCACTGGGCCCCCTGCTACAGTGGTGGCCTGTGCCAGAGACCATGGCTGGCACAGCAGCAGAAGCAGTGCGGGGAGTGAACAGGATGGATGCAGTCCATGGGCCGCCAGCCAGACAGCCCTGTTCTAGGCTGCTCCTGAGGCAGCTATGCACTATCCCTTGCAAAGAGCTCATAGCAAAGTCAAAACTTAGCCCGAATGAAACCGCCTAAACGTGATTTTCACCCAATCCACCACCGCACGTAGCATGCACCTTCTACAGAGGAATCTGCGTTGATATAAGCAACTCCTCGTGCTTGTAATATTTTGGCATTCTCCTGCATTAAGAACAAAAAAAAAAAAGATTAAACTTCCCCCTTCAAAATAATGCTCCACATATTTCCCGGAGCCTTACAGCTTTCCACATACAACCCAGCTCCCAAAATACTTTTGGAGAGAAGATTCATGTGGAGCCAAGAGGTTCTCTCTCCACCTGGTTTACTAGTTAACACATGAATCAATCTTTTTCATGTTTTTCAAATTTTTTTGCCCAACACTTTTCAGCGACCCAGTGAACTGCACCCAAAGATGCTAGAACAGAACTGCAGGGTTGAAAAGGACCTCAAGGGTCACCTAGTCCAAGCTCCTGCACAAATATGATTTGCGTGTCCAAAACCATCCCAGACAGAAGCCTATCCAACTGCTTCCTGAGACCTTCCAGTGAAGAACACCATAACTTCCGTGCGCTTCTTATGATTAGGAAGCTTTTTTTCCTGAAATTTAATCTACATCAGTTTTATTACGTTCAAACTCATTAGGCGCATACAGATGAGCGCGGTTATGCGGTATGTGGTGCCACAAACATGTTTGCAGCACCACATCCCACACGGTCTGGTGTTCTCCGTGCTGCAAGGGCATGCTGCCTGAGCGTGTGCTGCTCCATTTTTTTTTTCCGAATTTTTTTGACCTCTGGATATCCAGGAGTCAAAACAAAATAAAAAGTGGGGGAAAAACCCAAATAGAGCAGCCCATGCTCTGGCAGCCAAAGTACATGTGGCATGGGCGTTCCCCAAGGTCCACTGCTGCTACTTGTCTCCAGGGAACCAAATGTCCCATTATGTCCTGCTCTCTATGCAAGACAGAACAGATCTTCTCCTTCTTATTTATGGCAGCCTGTCCAATATTTTAAAACAATGCCTTAGTCTCCATTTTTCCAAACTAAACACACCTAGTTTTCTTCCCCTTTCCTCATATTGTTTGCATGCTGTCATCTTTGTCATTCACCCCTGAATCCTGTCCAGTTTCTCTAATTATTTAAAAGTGGATCGCAGCTCTGCCCCAGCTCTGGACCACACAGTCACTGCTGCAAGATCCCAGCCTCAGCCCCAGAGCAGCTCCCTACCCAACCATTTCTAATTATCTAACACAAAACAAAACATGACCATCCCAACCAAATGCAGGATCAAGGCTTTTTATTGTTTTGTTGTGTTATATGGCACAAATATATATGTTTTGTTATATGGCTACTACAAATGGCAGCTTATGATTTTTTCCAAGCCAAGAGGGCAGGAATGGCCATGCTGCATCTGACCATTGGTCCACCGAATCCAGAATCTTGAAATCAATAGTCAAAAGTTACAACTCCTTCTGGGGAAGCTGCTACAAACCCCAAAGTAGGTATTTTCCAGCTAAATGTTCAGTTTGTTTCAGACTCTGCCAAGCTTTTTGCTGCAAGGGCTTCCTGGGTATTGAGAACCCTAGGATAACTATATATTTTGTGAAAAGTGTATTTCATTTATCAGTTTTGTTTCATTTAACTTGATTTCATTGAATGTACCCTGGTCTTCGTGATACAGAACAGAGTGAACAGAAGCTCTTGTGCACCTTCCATAGTTCATCCTTTATTTTGTAACTTTTTGTCATTTATAACCACTATCATCCAAGACAGAATTTTTTATTTTTTTTTGCAATAAGAGCATCTGTGAATAGTAAAATAATAAGCCAGCCAACACTTCATATGATGGAAACTCAGCAAGGATCACTCACAAGTGATTAGTACAGGGGTGGGCAAAATGGCAGATCCAGCCAGCTGTTAGACTCCAGTTCCTAGCAGTCCCTGCCCATGTCCCTGCAGCTGGTTTCCAGTAGTAGCAGCGGTGTGACAGTGCAGGGCCAGGGCTTCTGTGGAGACCAGCCCCAGCAGGACACATGGTTGGGTAGGGAGCTGCTCCGGGGCTGGGATCTTGCAGCAGTGATAGCGTGGTCCAGAGCCGGGGTAGTGCTACAATCCAATGCCCACAAGCCGCAGGCAGTCCTTTTCCTCCTCCAAGATCCAGGGCACATGAGCAGTGGATTACAGGTCTGCCCTGGCTCTGGACCAGGCAAGATCCCAGGCCCAGCCATGGAGCAACTCCCCATCCAGCCACACGACCTGCCAGTGTTGCTGGGGCCAGTCTCCATGGAAACCCTGGCCCTGGGCTGTCACAGCGTTGCTGCTCCTGGTGCCTCCATGGAAACCGGCCACAGCAACACAAGCAGGGGCTGCTGCGAAAGGGAGTTTGCTGCGGGCCAGGCTTTGCCCACCCCTGGATTAGTGGGACTTTGTGGAAAGATCTGAATCCAAACTGCCTTTAGCTTGACATATTGAATTAAATTAATAAATTGGCATCCCTCTCAAGGGTGGTACTGAGACAGGGTACCTTGGTACTATATATTAAGACATTTGGATTTATATGAATTGAGCATTCACTGCCTCAAGGTGGATCAGGAAGTACCTCGGGCAGAAGTGATTTTTTATAGGCCAGCAACCCGTACAAAGGACCTGATTGCTTAAGCAAAGTCCTTGAAGTCACTGGAGCTAAACCAATTTACAATAGTTACAAGAGGAAAAGCAAGCCTGAAACCTCCATTTGGCAGTGTCTCTGCTCCCAGGCATATGTTGGTATATTCCCACACATCTTGTTCTGGGACTAGCCACTGGTCTCTTGGTCAGATAGTCGGGAGCACAAGTGGCTTCTTAAGGTGAAATTCATACGGCATGTCTGTAGCTAAAATTAAACTAAATTGAACTTCAATTTAGTTTACTACAATTTAATAATTTTGATTTAATTTATTGTTCCTGGGGGAAGATTATTACTATTTTTTGTATTCAGTAAACAACTCTGGACACATGCATTAGAGTGCCTGAATGCTCCTGAGTGGCACCGGTAGAAGAGCTGTCATTGTGAAGAACTCAGACTTTAACTGGTGATTTACCTCAGCCCACTCTGTGGATCCTAGCAAGCCAAATTCTTCTGCATCCCAGCTTGCAAATATCACTGTTCTTCGAGGTCTCCACCCTACAAAAACAGGAGTTGTAAAGCATCATGAGAATTATTCCAGAAATACCCTGTGATGGTGATTCACACTCAAAAATATAATGAAAAACATGGAACTACATTTTTGACCTTCAAGAATGATCAGTGGTGAAAAAAGAATGCTTAGGAAATCTAATCTTTAATGTTTCTATCATCTTACTTATATTACAGCATTAGACCCAATATAGAATTATTTTTTCCACTCAGTATCCATGGTGATTGAAATTTAACAAACTTCATCATACTGGCAAATAGGAGAGGGGGCAGTATTAACTTTCTGGATAATATCTTTACTGATTTTCCAACCTGCCCTATTCAGTACAGATTTCTGTCCTGTTTAACACAAATGAGAACTGTAGTACTTGTTCCATTCTGTTACCAGTGATCATTTCCTTGACCCTCTTCCCAAACACTAACTTTGAAATCCTGATATTTCCCACTACGTGATTTCAACAGATGGACTTCTAAGCAAGGATCTTACACCCTGAAAGGTTTAGCATTTGATCTGAGGTCAAGGCAAACCAGAATAAAGTATGCTGCAATGTGTTTTTATCTCTGTCCACTTCATCAAAGCTCTCCTTTGGGCCAGCATTATGCTTGGCTTCATTATGCATTGTTTCCTATGATGTTCAGTAACTAGGAAGTGACAGAAACAACATTAACTTCTAATAGATTTTAAATCCAGCGACTGAGCAAAGCAAGCTACCACGAAACAGTATTTGACTTATTTCCGAACCTCTCTCAAAAGGAATTCTGACTGAATAAAAAGAAATAATGGCTGTTCTGGCAAGTGAATCACAAAGGTGTTACTGTTACTCAACACACTTAGATATATCTAGGAACCTTGTATTTTTAAGCTTGTTCTTCTGTGGATTTGGGCTGCATATTTCTGTGCGCACACTGTGCCTGAAGTTGCGTGTAGACAAACAAGTTAGCATGAAACAAGGGTATTTGGCAGTACCTGCTCATCCATGTTCACACCCTTACCTTGCACTAATGAAAGCCAACATGCAGTCAGCTTTAATTTCTCAAGGGAAAAAGCATGTGCACAAGGCTAGTTACTGCAGACTAGCTGACATGCTGTAGGCTCCTGACCTTAATCTACCTTGCAGTAACTCATCTGTGCATTAATATCCAGATTCACCATTCACATTGGTTTAATTAATTTATACTTAGCTGATTTGGAAGTTTTGGATTCTTTTTTGGTCTGTTAGTCCATATATTGAGTTATTTTTAAAGCAAGAAAGGACCATAAGAGCATCTAATTTTGACTTCCTGTATACTTCCTGAATAGCACAAGACAATTACCACTGGATGTAATATTCCTTCCCTTAGCTCGCCTATCTGGCAAGCAAATACCATCACAGAAAATACTTTGATTACTTATTCTTAAGTGATAGACTTGTTATTGTGATTAAAAGAGAAAAATCATGGTGAAGGTAGGAGGGGCTATATTAGAGCTCAGTACTTTTTATTATGAGATAATTTAATTTCTTGCCAAAGTAAACATTCCAGGCCAAAAGTTTCAGAGAGACTTGCGCAAAACAATTACAGGGACCTAATACCCACAATAGACAGCTGAAAAGTTTACAGCATATTCAATATATGGAGGAGTAAAGTCTTGACATATGAGAGTCGTTAGGCATAGACCTAATTTCAGGCACCTGCTCAATTTACACCGAAGACAGCAGGTACAGCGTTTAGACCTCTGTCTATGCAAAATCTGTATATGCTTCTTTATTCTTTGGTTGCATTACCTTCCTTCTTTAGTTTCCCAAAACTTCTCACAATTTCATGAACCACAGCTGCCCCACTCTGAGGATCAATGCCACCAAATACCCAGGAGTCACGATGACCTCCCAGGATGACGTACCTGTCTGGAAAAATTAATTATGAAGATTTATTTAGGAGGGCCTTTTCTGGAGCAATACTACCAGTGAAAAGTGCTTATCAATATCTCATGTAGGTTTCCAGACAATGAATATTCTATCTCAACAGTTTACGTCCTATGTGATGGAATGGCAGAAGCCATCCTTAAATCTCTGTAGAAAAAAAACATTAAAGAGACTCTACTGCTTAACTGCAACTAGTTTCAAGCTTACTTATGTTACTGTCTATTAAAAGTTGACAGCAATTTATTTGAGAAAATAATGACATAGACATACATAGCAGACACAGCTTTTTAAAAATTAGTTGTATTTATAAAACCCTTTTTTTGACAGGCATAGTTTTTATTTATCATTTGGGCTTTTAATTTACTATGTCTAGCTTCAGCTGAAATATCAAATCACAGAAACAAATGACCCTATCAACTATGAAGCTATGAAAACAAACTACAAAACCCTAAAAAAGAAAACTATCGAGTTTTGCGAACATTCAAAAATTTATATCAAACCAACATTCACCTCCTAGATTTCAGTGTTTGCATAGATAGAGCTATTAACTGAAATAAAGCAGTTATTCCATAGATAGACAAATCTCTACATCTTACTATGGCCCCCTCTACACATGCAAGTAAAGGCGCAATGGGAACTAACATGTGATTCACACAATCCTGCCATGCCACATGTCCCACGGTGATCCTTCAACCCTAGGAGTTTCCCACACCCTGGAGCCCTAGGGATCATGGCAGATGTGTGAAACCCCCAGACCCTGGGGCTTTTCGCTAGGCATGGTGCACCCCTGTGGCTGGGAGACCCATCAGATGACAGGTCTCTCAGCAGCCAGGGAGACCCTACTACTCCTGCAAATTAAAGCAGGAGGTCTAACTTTATAGCTGATTGGAACTTTTGTTGCATGATAGCTACTTTGCACATGTAGCTAATCTCCAATTAATTGCACAATTCACCAATTAATTGCACAATACCTTTAACATGTAGAGCAGGGGTTATCAACCTGGGCTACATGTACCCCTGGAGGGACTTTGAAAGGTCCCAGTGGGTACGCGGGGGCCCATGCCACTGCCTGACAGGAGCAGGGCTGGGGAGGGACGAGAGCAGGGTCTCACAGATGCTGTGCTGCCACCGCTCCGCCACTCACCCCCCCGGGGGTACACTTATTAAAAAGGGGGCTTCTGGAGGTACACTTATTAAAAAAAGTTTGAAAACCCCTGATATAGAGGGAGCCTATAATACATTTCAAAGTCAAAGCTGGCCCAACATGTAAATGTGTACTTCATGCGTGTTTTAAACTAAGAACATTTCAAAGATACAGATGTAGTGGATCCCTATCCAGACGACAGAACATGATGAGAGTTATCCAAGCCAAAATGGGAGGCATAGTTGACAAGACGTCCAAAGACAGACTAAC